ATGTTTATTTGTATATATTATTTGTAAGAGTTGTTCGTTTTTGTTTTAAGGTAATTAGTTTATGTATTTAAATTATTTTTATAAAATATTCGACTTATGTAATTAGTGTACTATTATTATTTAATTCTTTTTTAATTTAAATAAAAAATTCATTTCTATTTAATTAAATAAACAGTTATTTTTAAATGAAAAAACTTTAAGTCGAAAAATACTAATTCAATTAGAATTTTATTAGTAGTGTAATTGTAGACTAAATATACATTATTAAAAAAAGTTGAAATTTTAAAAAAAATATCTTTGTATGAAATAATTTTATACTAAATAATATATTTATTATTAAAACAGAATAAAAAATAACTATTATAATATATTTTCACACAAAATTATAGACGATGGGCAAATTAAAAAAAAATATGAAGAATGTTCAACTAAGTATTTTTATTTATGCATGCATGCATTGCATTTGATCGTTTATTTTTAATTTTTTAACTGTTGGAGGTTTTTAACGAAAATTGTTCTCAACCTGACGTTTGAGACAGCCTACTCTCCTATCACTTTACCCCTTACCTCATTGCACATGGGAATATGATTTTGTTGTTGTTGTTATCAAAATTCAAAACACAAGAAATGAAAAAAAAAAAGGAAAATAAGCATATATAAATAAATATTAGAGAAAAGAAGTATATTATGGCCAACAAAAGCTTCTTGTAGATTGAAGAGCAGAGAAAATCACTCTTCTTCACACAAAGAGAAGGCAAGGGAAACATCAGAACAAGAAAGAATTTGAGTTTTTTTTCATTTTGATTGAAAGCAAGCGAAAGGGTTTCGTTTTTGGGGAGATTTTTTTCCACGTATTTAATGCATCAGAAGAAATCGGAAGTTCAGATCGGAAAAGAAAGCAGCGGCGTCTCTTCCGATTTTAATCCCAAGCCTTCAGCCGTTCATCAGAATCGTAATAATAATCCTCCGCCTTATCAACCGCAACATTTTAATTACCATCACAGTTTAAATCAACTTTCCGATACAATCGCGGCGGCCAATACGACGCCGATTTCGGTTTTCCCTCAGATAGTTATCCATAACCCTCCACAAGATGACGCAATTGCGCCGGAGCCTTCTTCTTCTTCTTCGTCTTCTCCGACTCCTTACAAGAGACCCCTTTTGACCCAGACTTCTTCTCTCCCCAGAACCCCAACTTTGTACCGTTTCACGAAGCCCTCTCATTTCACTTCCCCGAATACCACTTCCTTCTTTTCAATTTCCATTGCTACTAAATCTTTCGTTTCTCGATTAATTCGTCGTTTCAAGCACTTGCGTCGTCTTCGAGCTCACCTACGCTTAATCATCCTCCTCTCTCTCCCTTTTTTCTACTTCTTAGTTTCGCATCCGAGCAACTTCTTTTTACTCGACTTCCTATCCGCTCTCGCTTTCTCCGCTGCCCTTCTTTTTTCCCTTAACCTCGCTCTCCCTCGCCTTCCTTCTATTCGTTTGTTCTTATCCCGTTCCTTTTTAATTAAGCTCAAGTCGTCGTCTCCATTCTCAAGGTCTCATTTGCCAGTGTTTTTGTCAATTGGGTCTCGGTCCAAATCCGAAAAGCGAGTTAATTCGGGGTGTTGGGTTCAAGTTTATAGCAACGGAGACGTCTACGAAGGGGAGTTTCACAAGGGCAAGTGTTCGGGGAGCGGCGTTTATTATTATTATATGAGTGGACGGTACGAGGGGGATTGGGTGGACGGGAAGTATGATGGCTATGGGGTGGAAACGTGGGCTAGAGGAAGCCGGTATCGTGGGCAGTACCAGCAGGGTCTTAGGCATGGATTTGGGGTTTATAGGTTCTATACAGGGGATGTTTATGCTGGAGAGTGGTCTAATGGGCAGGGGCATGGCTGTGGAGTTCATACCTGTGAGGATGGAAGTCGATATGTCGGGGAATTCAAATGGGGAGTGAAGCATGGATTCGGACATTATCATTTTAGGTTTACTTCTTTTCTAGCTTATGCTATGAATTATTTTTGTGTTCGTTATTGTTGTTTTTGAGATGCACTGTTATTTAGCCTAAGTTCTCGCTGTCTGACTATGTTCCCCGACTTCTTATTCTTCTATGTTTCGAGGATTTGGGTGATAATGCTTTATTGTACTATTAATTGTTAGGGAAGTATCAGGGTGTAGGGATTATAAATTGGTGTAAGTGAATCAATCAATGTATGGAAAGTGTAGTATTTTTATGTTCAAATGAATATTTTTAATGTGAGGGCTGCCTTTTAATTCTATAGAATTAATTAGCTATATGCTTCATGATCATAGTTCTGTATTTTACTAATTCTGGTTTTGAATCTTTTGATTTTCTTATTTAGGAATGGAGATACATATGCTGGTGAATATTTTGCAGATAAGATGCATGGGTTTGGTGTCTATCGTTTTGCAAATGGCCATTGCTACGAAGGTGCTTGGCATGAGGGTAGGCGACAAGGGCTTGGAATGTATACGTTTAGAAATGGGGAAACACAATCTGGTCATTGGCAAAATGGAATTCTCAATGTCCCAAGCACACAGAGCTCCACATATGCCATGTTGCCAGTAGCTGTTTATCACTCAAAAGTACTAAATGTGGTTCAGGTACTTAAGACTTTTCTAGTTTAGATTTTTAATCATTTTTAAATATCATTGAAGAGATATTTGGTGCTTTAGGTGATATTTTTACACTTTGCCTATCAATCATTTTGATGATCCCATCCCATCTTACGGTCTTCTCAGTTGTTTAATTTGGTATGGCAGGAAAAATAATTGTATGGTCTTGTGCTATTTTGATGTTAAATGTGATCATCCAATGTGAGATAGTCATATGAATCACTTTTAGCAATTCAAAAGTTGGAACCCAGGTTTCCCAACGATGTAAATTGTGTGAAGGAGATGCCTAATGCTTATTAATAGTTATGCTCTGCAATGCAACACAATTATCTTTCAGCTTTTGCTTGGTATGAAGGATGATAAATTCGTAGGATGGAAATTTTGTAAATTGAATTGTTAAAACTCATAACTACTTTCTTACTCAGTACTTTAACCACTAGATTAACATTTTTTCTATCCTCACTTTTCCTTCCATCATACCAACTACCAAGCAAAGCCATAGTCATCATTTTTTTTCTGTGACAGCATAAGTCAGTGAACACTCTGTAATCTGATCAAGACTGATTTTATTTAGTTATTGGTGCTACTTGCAGGAGGCTCGAAGAGCAGCAGAGAAAGCTTATGAAGTGGCCAAGGTAGACGAGAGAGTGAACAAGGCAGTTGCTGCTGCTAATAAAGAAGCAAATGCAGCAAGAGTAATAGCAGTTAAAGCAGTTCAAAAGCAAATGCATCCATAATAATTACAGTGACAACATTCCCAGTCCTACCATGTGAGACTTCTACATCGGCTCATTTACCTTCTAAAATACATAAGAATTGAGTTAGCCCCAAGAGGATGGTGGTTTATGCGACTTACTTTCCAAATTAGGTTTATGTTTTTATACTATTATCTTCTTACAGCCCTCGGTCTTTCTTCAAGAGGCTGTAGCTTAACATGCCTGCATATTCCATGCCTTCCATGGACAAAGAGACAGCTAAAGAGTAATCTATCTTTTTTAATATTTTTCCTTAAAAAGAAGTTATTATCATACGTGCTGGGACGGGTTTCCTATCCGTAGAAAGGGGGTGGATAAAGGTTTGATGATGGTGATGACACCATCCATATATTTAATTAGTTGTAGCTGCTGCCTTATGTTGGTGCAGTTTTGTAAAGATGGGGTAGATTATTATGTAATAATATGTAAGTGGTAGTCGGAGAGGCAGGTGAAACCTCATCCAGCTAGTCAATGTTTGTTGTGATCTTGATTGTTTATGCAATGAAGAAAATCTCGCATCTTTTTGTTTTCTTGTGACGAGTTGGGTATTGACCAATGATATGTCGAGTTAAATTGCAGTGCCTTGGGGGTAATAGGTAGAAGTCATGCTACAGCTGCCCGACAATTTAGCCGAAGATTATGCTCTCGTCTTCAATGGATCACATGGCAGTAGAGATTAGAGAAGTAGGTTATGCTTGGATTTGAAACCATTTAAAACAAGAAAAGCCCATTATCATAGTAAAGAATGGCATGTTTTTTTAGATAATTTGAGTTAGAACAAAGTGTGTGAATTTACTTGTATTAAAACAGGTATAGCATGAAATGATAGCTAAAACTAGAACTAGAGAAATTGAAACCAAAGAAAATAAAAGCATCACGTTAATGAGTGCAAAACTATTACATGAAATGACAGCTAAAACTTTAGGGCAGGGAAACAGGCATTTCTAAAGGATGCTGCAATGTAACCAATCTAAACACCACCACATGAGAACTCAAAAGAGCTTCAACAATTCTAGAGTATGGCGCAGACTTCTGCCAAACTCCATTAAGGTCAATGTCGGCGGTGCCTATTGTGCTTCCAAAGGCATCACTGTTATTGGCATCGTCGCAAGAGATCATAATGGGTTAGTAGTTGGAGTTGTCTGTAAACAAATCCCTCCCCATTTCTCAGCTGAATCGGCCGAAGCTATTGCCTTCACCCAGGGTCTCCAATTCGCAATTGAAAACAGATGGCAAAATACGATCATTGAAGGGGACGCTATTTCCATTGTTAATAGACTTACTAATAGATAGGAGGATATTTCAACCATCGGATTGCTGCTCAACGAAACTCAAGGGATTCTTACTAACAAGAAGGATCTCAAGGTCTTCTACGTGAGTCGAGAGGCAAATAGAGTAACACGCCTCTTAGCGCAATGGGCTCTGTCGCGACGAATCCATATTGGTTTTATTATGGCGAACTTGAGCAATTGGAATCTAAATGAACCTTTCCACTTAAAAAAATAAACACCGAGACAGCTTCAATTGAGTCAAAATATCAAAATATCCCAAACAGCTAAAAAACATGTTCGTGTTGCACAGCAGTAAAGTTCCATACATCAAAAAAGAAAAGAGAAAAATAGAAACAAATTTAAATCTCGGTCTGCTCCCTAAGTCTCTGAATGGTACTCCTGACAGTAACAGCACTTGCAGCACAGTGCTGCACTCAAAAGAAAAGAGAAAATGTGATTAGATGGAGAAATGGCAATTCAAGCAGATAAGCTCGCAAAACATGGCCATACAAACTTACTTCATAGTGTAAGCGCCTCCAGCTTTCACTTTACCACAATCTTTGCATCCCCAAATGCCCACAGCTTTCCTCTTCACCGCATACTGCATCGGTTTAGATTACATAAGCAGCTATCGAGCAACCAACTCACCGTAAACAAGTAGGAAACCGATGTCGACAGCCGAGAAAACTACCTTTCCGCATAACTCACATACTTGCTATGCTGGCTGACCTCCAAGGAAGGTTGGGTGTTGAACCTGGAAGCCAAATCAACAACCTTGAGCTTGGCATTTCATTAAACTAATGGTTTTTAACCATCTTCCCATATTCTTCTCTCAACTTTTTATAAAATAAAAAAAGTCTGTCTTTAAATCTTCCTTCCAACTGGGTTCTTTATTTTCTCTGTAAATCTTCCATTTTTTTAACAATGGTGTTGGAATGAACTAAGAAAGTTTGAGTTTTTGTTGTTGATAGTGTAAGGAGAAATAAGAATGGAGAAGAAGATGAAGGGAGGAAGGTCTTTAGTAGAGACTCCAACTTATATTCTTGTCTCTTTGATTACAGTGTTGGTTTTCGTTTTCTATTTAGTTGAAAGCTCCATTTATACATTTGTAAAGGTGGGAATTGAGCTTAACTCTGGTTTTAGTTCTGGGAAAGTATGGGGTATGTTTGGTAACTCTGGTTTTAGTTCTGGGAAAGTATGGGGTATGTTTGGTTACTGAGAAAATGTCGAAAAGCATGAAGGATGAAAGAGATGAAGATTATTAGTATGTGTTTATAAAAATTTAAAATTCAATTTGTTATTTAACGTTTATAATAATTTTGTTAAGGTTATAATAAGTTCTTAAGTTAGTTTGGTGATTAGGTGTTTAGTTTTAGTTCCTAAATGTTTATGGTCAAATTTCATTGAAAGTATTTTTTTTTCATTAACTAAACGATATCGTTTTAGTGGGGGAGTCACGTCATCTCTGTCACGAAACGGAGATGTCATGTCACTATTTTGTTAATAGATTAATGGTAATATGATATAATTGTATTTAAACATAAACGTCAATGTTAAAATTGACGAAATTAAATCAGTAGTGGCATAAACGAGCCTAAACTTAAATATGAGTAGTATTTGAAATAGTTTGTCGTAATAAATTCTAGCATCAGGTGATTCTTTATTAGGGATGATAACGGGTCGGGTATTGATTCCCCGTCCCCGTTTAAAAAACTCGTACCCGTTCCCGCTTAAAAAATCACGGGGATTTAAACGGGGATCTCCATTGGTTAATCAGGGAAAATCGCGAGGAAACGGGTATCTCCGTTTAACACAAACAGTTATTTAAACTGGTATCGGGTCGGGTATATATATTTAAATTAAATATATAAATATTATATATATATATATTATTTAAATTAAATTTATTAATATTATATATATAAAAATAATTATTATTTTTAATATTTATCGGGCTGGGTAATCGAGACGGGGATTACTAAACCCGTCCTCATCCCTGTTTAACAAAAACGGTTTTCCTCGTCCCCGTCCTCATTTAGCATAAACGATTTTTTTTCGTCCCCGTTTAATTCGATTTTCCCCGTCGAGTTCGGATTTATTTGTCATCCCTATTCTTTATTAGTAGCCAACAACATAAGAAAAATGATTAATACAAAAATAAATGTCTAAACTATGTCTCGAAAAATATTTTAGTGCCTAAAGAATTTTTCGCTAAAAATAGGTGTCTTAACGTTTTTTCAGTTAAACTTTTAGACGCATATTGTTTATTTTTTAATTTTTTAATCATACAAATATTTTTAATTAAAAAAGTTTAATTTATTTATAACAAAACTCAATTTTTTACTGAAATTATAAAAAAAAACCCTAAAAATTAAAATATTCCATTTAAATCCCCATTACCAACTGTCAATGACCATCTCCGATCACCATCTTCATCGTCAAAAGATCATCCACTCGTCGCCATCCACTCATTGATCAATCGTAATCCTTACCATCCCCAAAATACCTAAATATAAAATTCCCAATATCTAAATCCCTAATTCTCATTTTTAATTTCTTAATTCAAACGGTCGCGGGCCACCATCGTCATTGTCGAACGGTTGAGTTTTGATAGAACGACTACGTCGGCTTAAAATCTGACGAAAGGTTGAACTCTTCTCCACCGTAAATAGTAGCATATTATGACGAAAGGTCAACGGGAGTTTAATCGAGGGTCAACGTCAATGACGATGACGGTAGCAGTGAAGGTCATCATTGACTGGCCGATGACTTTTGGAAGAGGAAATGGGAAAGAAGAATTGGAGGGGAGGGGGCTACACACGGGAGGAGGGCTGCTGATTTTTTTTACAGTTTTTTAATTTTAAATAAATTTTCAAAAATTATCAGAACGTAACATATGTCACTTTACAGATATTTTTAATGACGGTTAACGTCCAGACACTTAAAAGTGTAACGTTTAAAACATTAGACACTTATTTTTAACAAAAAAATTCTGTAAACACTAAAATATTTTTTGATACATAATTTAGATATTTATTTTTATATTGACCCCAATAAAAATAATGGTTAACATATACAACAACAAAAAAAAAACCCAATTCCCATATGCAATGGGGTAAGGGGAGGTAAGGTAATAGGCTGCCCCCAACGCCAGGTTGAGAGTAGTTTCCGTGGAAGATCTCCGACAGTCAGAAAATTAAAAATATAGATAAAATGCAATGCATGTATAAATAAATACATAAATACATAGTTGAACAGTATTCATATGCAGTCATTAATATCATTAATATCATATGCGCGTCTGTAATGGACAGTAATCCCTGCAAATAAATCCCTGCGAAAAAATCTCTGCATATAGACAAAAACATAAGACCCGACTAAACTTAAAAGTGAAAGAGAATGATACACAGAAGTCAACGATAGCAAGCCCAGTTCTAAGCATTCATAAATACCAATAACAAAAACGTATAAAAAGTAGAAATCATGGAAATTACTATAAAGGCATTAAAAGAAGACAGATATGATACAGATGATACACTCTAGAGATGTGACCCACGCTACTCGACTACCCTAGTCTTAAGTCTCCATACTTTCCTATCAGAGGTCATGTCCTCGGTAAGGGCTAAATCCATCAAATCAGATCTCAAACAGTCTTCCCACTTCTGCGTTGGTCGTCATCTCCTTCTGACACCGTCGACTGTAATCGACTCTACCATCCTGACCGCATCCGACGGTAGTCGCCTTAGGACATGCCCAAACCACCGTAGTCTTCCATCTCTCAATTTTTCGGAAACAAACACCACCCCAAGGACATCCTAATAGTAGAGTTTGTTGTCATATCCCACAAAGTCCTAACGCATGTCCATCGAAGCATTCTCATTTCTGCGGCCTCTATCCTCCTTACATGATCCTTATTGGTTGCCCAACATTCTGATCCATACAACAGCGCTGGTCTTATTGTCATTCTATAAAATTTTCTTTTAAGTTTTAGTAGCACCTTCTTATCACACAAAACTCCAATAGCGGCTCTCCACTTTAGCCATCCCACATTTATACGATGTGTAATGTCATCATCTACACCCCATCTTTATGTATCATAGACCCTAGGTACTTAAAACAATCATTTGTGAAAAAAACGTGTCATTTTATGCATATTTCTACATCTTCAACGTTTTAATCCCACTAAAATTTAAACATAAATACCCAATGATTAACATATCTATGTTAATAATAGCATAAATGACGAAGGATGATAAAGGTGCACACACTTTGCGATTCTCTATTAACTGTATTTTTATTATATTTAAGTTTTAAAATTGTCAAATATCTCAAGTGGGGCCCACGTGATCTCCCTCGTGTCTGCCGCTCGTGTGTCTTGTTAAGACGTGTCTCGTTAATTGCATCCATCGACCTATGTCCTGGGTTTTCCCCTTTATTTATTATAAATGTTGAAACACCCTAAAGGGATTTATGTCCCATAACTATTAACATTTTTTATCCCTGGAATTTTTATCTTCTTGTTGTGAAATTTAGGTTTACAACATAAATGATTCTCCGAATTCGATAATTTTGATCTGATTTTAATCTTTATTTTTTATTAAATCAATCCCTAAACTTAGAAAGTTAGGTCAAAATAATCACTATATAATCTCGATATAAGATTGTAATATATATTTTAAAAATTAATATATTAATCATATTAATTAATTTGTGTCACATTTTCAAATTTCAAAAAAGTATTTGATCGAACTTATTAAATTCAAGAGACAATTTAATAGAAAGAAAAAGTTTATATGCCAATTTGATCCAATTTGCTAAGTTAAATAATCTATTCGATGAATAAAAAGTACATGGGACAACTTCATAAAAATGCCAAGTTTAAGGATTGATTTGTATTTAAACCTAAAATATATTAACCTATCTATTCCATAAAGACATTAAATACTTATTGGGTAAAATATATAAATAGTTCCTTGACTATAGAATATTGTTTGATTAGGTCTCTCGACTATTAAAAGTTACAAAATAATTTTTTGATTATAAGGAGTTATTTTTTGAGTCATTTGACTATTAAAAGTTACAAAATGGTCACCCGACTATTCATTATGTTCTAAACACGTCATTTTTCGTTAAAAAATTGACGATAATTTGATATGTATGTTAACTTGTCGATTGAGATATGATAAAATATGATATCATAATCTCAAATAACTATCATATCTCATTCAGCATGCTAACGTCCAACTCTACTGTCCTTGTTTTTTTTAACGAAAATTGACGAGTTCAAAACATAATTAATAATCGAGTAATCACTTTATAACTTTTAATAGCAGAGAGATTCAATAAATCAACTTCTTATAATCAAAAAATTATTTTATAATTTTTAATAATAAATAAACTTAATAAAATAATATAATATAATCAGAATATCATTTGTATATTTTATTTGTATTTAATTAAACACACACTCCTAGAATCATAACCACAGCCATATTAATTGAATTGCTACTTAATTCGCAGAACCAGAACTGTAGCTGAATGGCATCTTAGGATCTGTGTAGCCTACATATCATAATCCAATGTCCTCTTTCAAAGAGACAAAAATATATATTAGTAACCTTAACTTCACGAATCCTCCAGAAGAGTGTTTCTGGGGATTATGAACTCGCTACACTCATCCATCGATGGGGGAGATTCGGTAGATATGCTCCTCCCCTCTATTTTCCTTTTATTTATCGAACTCTCTGCTTTTGAAGGTAGAGATTTTCCATCTGGGAAATCACATGGATGGTGAAAATCACTAGATTTTCCATCTAGTAGAAGCAAGGGGCAAAGATCGGCACCGGAGTTGAAACAAGAAAGGAAATCAGAGGGGTTTTCTGGGAATGATCGATTCACAAAGTCCACATGTTCAGTCTCACTAGCTTCTCCTCGCAGCATACCGGAGTTGTACGAAGCAAAAGCTCCCAATTTGAGGGTCTTCTCTTTCTCAGAGCTTAAACAAGCCACTCGTGATTTCAATCTGCAACTTAAGATCGGCGAAGGCGGCTTTGGGAGCGTCTACAAAGGAACCATCAAGCCTGCTGATGGAAATGGCGACGAGCCTTTGGTGGTTGCTATTAAGCAGCTTAACAAGAATGGTTTGCAGGTACTCCCTTTAGCTCTGTTTGGGGACTGAGAAAAGTTTCCTAAGACTTTCGTTTCATAGTTGTGTTTGAACTTCGATCTGTATAGGGACATAAGCAATGGGTGGCGGAGGTTCAATTTCTTGGTGTCGTTGAACACCCGAATCTCGTTAAACTTATCGGATATTGCGCCGCTGATGGAGAACGGGGGATCCAGCTTCTTCTGGTATACGAGTTTATGCAAAATAAGAGCTTGGAGGATCATCTTTTCCGTCGTGTATTCGCACCACTTTCCTGGGAAACAAGATTACAGATAATACTGGGAGCAGCACAAGGATTAGCTTATCTACACGAGGGCTTAGAAGTTCAGGTTCGTTTCTTAGACACTTTAACAACGCATTATCATCAGATTTTGGTTATCTAAATCTATGGTTTGATAATAATGCAAGATCATATATCGGGACCTCAAAGCCTCCAATGTGTTATTGGATGAGAAGTTCAACCCAAAACTTTCGGATTTCGGGCTGGCAAGGGAGGGGCCAATGGCTGGCCGTACCCATGTTTCAACAGCGGTTAGTATTTCTATTATGTACTGTTTGAAACTTTGAACAACATGAAACATCCTATTACTTGTTTCATTGTGATCAGGTTGTTGGGACATATGGTTATGCCGCTCCCGATTACATTGAAACGGGACATTTAACCGATAAGAGCGATGTATGGAGTTTCGGAGTGGTACTATACGAGATACTTTCAGGCAGGCGGTCATTAGAAAGAGGGCGTCCGAAAGCAGAGGAGAAACTGTTGGAATGGGTGAAACAGTTCCCCGCTGATAGTAAAAAGTTCAGCTTAATAATGGACCCTCGACTAGGAAACCAGTATTCTCTGGGTGCAGCTAGAGAAATTGCTAAGTTAGCAGATGCTTGTTTAGTGAAAGGTCAGAAGCAGCGGCCCAAGATGAGTGAGGTGGTGGAGAGACTAAAGCAGATAATCCAAGTTTCAGAGGGTGGAATCGCCAGCAAATCGGAGAGTCCTCTCGAGGCATCGGAAATTCAAGCAAGCGAGACGGAAGAGAACTCGAATAATCGAGCCTTGGAATCATGGAAGAGGCGGATGGCACACCTTGCGAAATTGGGAGAGCATGCAGATGGTGCAAGTAGGAGGAGATTGATAATGCTGCAGCGGGCCAAAGTGCCTGCTCTTCATTAATGTAGTATTCTTCTATTTAAAAGATTTGAATTTGAGTAATTACATTAGAATACTCAAATTCGAATAACTATACCATCATCATCGCAATAGGATAGATCTTTTTAACTTATTTTCATTAATGAAAAACGCATAATCCGACGCCCCTCCCCCTTCCAGACATCCGCGCCCTCGACCATCAACCTCGTGGGGGGGGGGGGACTAAATACAAAATTTTCTCAGTTTTGATTTGTTCACTCAAAATCGATACATCAAAATGCCTAGAAAAGAGCAAGACGTGATCAGTGATTACTGGATTAATTCACAGCAACCGTGCCGGTCCGTACAGTTTTGTTACCGGTAGAGTTCTGGGCATCTGATTTCCTAAAAGATCTACCGGATTTCCTGTTCTTGTCTCTCGATTCGTCCACCTCCAGCTGTTCTTGTCTACACTCTTTGCTGCAAAACGGTGTATTCCCTCTGCAATAATTTCCCACCAAGACCAAAATCAATCACAAACGCTCAAACAATAAAAAGTTCTCCGTTTGTACTAAATTCTCATAGCTAAACACGATCCTATGAATTAAAAGCGAATGATGAGAAAAAACTAACCTGTACATGAAAATGTCGGAATTGTGAAGCGATTTGCGGCAAAGAGAGCAGGCATCGAGGTAGTGGGCATCGTACTGATCTTGGCACCCGGAGTAATAATAATAATAACCCGACATGCTTCACTGCTATTTAACGATTTCTAACAAAACAACACAGAAAGGGAAGAAAAACAATGGTCGAAACTGCAAATTTGCAGTTTGAGAAGAAGAAGAGTGAGTGCAGTAGTTCAAGTACGGGAGCCTCGAGACTTTTAAAAAGGGAAAGCTTTGACTGGGGCAACCAAATACTACACGCTCTATTATATAAAAATTAAGTCTTGTTTGTTAAGGACACGTGTTATAATTTCGTTGGAGTGTTGTAAGCGTAAGTGGTTTTTTACGATGCTCTTCTGTATTATTATACAATGCTCATGAGGCATTACACTATCTCCCTTCCCGTTAAAAGTGTTATATATGGGTAAAGTGGACAAATGGTCCTTTGACTATAGTTGTTACTTTGTTGAGTCTCCTAACTTGTCAAATGATCATTATGATAAAATTATCCTGAGTTCTCGACTATTAAAAGTTGTAAAATGGCCATTTGACTATTTATATATTCTAAACTCGTCATTTTTTGTTAAAAAGGGACAACAATATGAGTTGGACGTTAACTTTACTGATTTTGATATTGTAAAATTTGATCTAAAAATCTCAAATGACTATCATATCACAGTCAACATGTTAGCGTTAAACTTAGACAATTGTTATTTTTTAACTGAAAAATGACGAATTTAGAAGACATGAATAATCAAATGATCATTTTGTAACTTTTAATAGTTGAGAGACTCAACAAACGTAACACCCTATAGTTGGGTGTATATATAAAAATACACAAATGGTTCTCTTGATTATATTTTAATGATAATAGTTTATGAACAATAATAAAATTCAGTATTCATTTTGCGAAAATTGCACCTAAGATTAATTAATTATGAGTGTGATAATAAACAGGTCATTCTTCTCCTAAAAAGTTATAAATAGGTCTTTTCGGCGTTAACATTTAGGCGCATGTCTAATGTGGCATGGTATAATAACTTGTCTAGTCTTTAAAACTTATACATTATATTAATTTTGTCCTAATTTAAAACAACTCAAAAATATATAAACGGTTGTCACTTGTCAGTAACTTTAGGGTTTCATTAGACATTTGTTAAAAAATGTTTAATCACGTTATCTTGAGTAGCGTTTTCAAGTAATACAAACGAAACATGCAGCAAATATTGGTGTCATTTACTCACTGCTTGTACTCATGCACGATAATCCATAGATTATATCGCAATTCCAGTACAAATCAGCCGCATTTATGGGAATATATATGTCATGGGGGTGTTGCTGGGCAATTATGGAGGAGAAGGGGAAGAATATAGAAACCTCAAAAATTATGATGTATTTTTTTAATGGGAAAAATTGGGTTGGCACTTTATGATTCTTCTGGAGGAGACGACTTGATAGGGTCCCCTAGGTTTTTTGAGTTGAGTAATACTGGGGTATTATCCGTAGGGTCCACGTTTTGTAATATAAAAAGACCCCATGAAACCGAGTGGACGTAGGCCCCACCAGCACAAACAAAAGCGTCGAATAGTGGGGCCCGCCTTACGCATGATCTATCTGGCTCTTTTTCCTAGGTCCTTATCTCTTGGGCCCACGCGATGCTGTCCGTGGGCTTTTTTACCCACCGTTTATTTTTATTTTTACTTTTCTAACACCGTTCGATCAATATTTCCAAAACTAACACCCTTTCTGCTGAGTTGGCAAAGGCGCGTCCCCGGGGACGCGCTTTACCCGTGTTTTCGCTGAGTTGGATGCCACGTGTGAAAGGCGCGTCCCCGGGGACGCGCCTTTGCCATATCAGCAGACACGTGTGGAAGGCGCATCCCCGGGGACGCGCCTTCCATTAAATGTCATAAATGCCCCCATCCGTTTTTCCTAACTACCCCTCCTCCTCCCCTATATAAACCTCATCAACCCTCACTCATTCTTCACACCAAAATCATCTTCTCCTCTCTTATATAACTCAAATTCTCCAACTATTTGAGTTTTAAATTTGTTATTAGTGGTAAGAAATTTATTTTTATGTTAGTATTTTTTTAAATAGTTATTATTTTTTATATTAATATATTTATGTAAATATTATTTTTTTATTAAAATAATATTTATATAATTATTATTTATTTAGAATTATTAATTTTTTTGCTAATTATATTGTTTTGTCTACAGTTATAATGGAAAACGAAATGCTGTTGCGATTGGATATTGATCATATCTCCAGACATTTTAGCGATATGGTAATATTTTTTATAATTAATGTTAATATTTATTTTAAAGTTATTATGAATTTATATTAATTTTTATTTTAAAGGTCCATTGCTATTGAGGGACTCAGGTCGTCCAAAATCTACTAGAATACATTGTGATATGGATATTCGGGAGAAGTCAACAGAACAAAAACGATGTGGGCATTGTAGAAACATCGGGCACAATAAAAAAAAATGTCCAGCTCTGTTATCATCATATAACCGTTAACTCTTATGTAATTAAAGTTTTTAAATGAATGTTTTTATTTCTAATAATTTAATGTTATTGCATTTATATAATTTGTCAATGTATGTACACCTAAATAATTTTTTTTAACTTTTAAATACATAAATATATTTAATATATTTATTTAATATAATATTTAATATTATTAGTTATAATTTTTTTTAAATATAATAATAATTCCACCTTCTAAGTAGAGAAAAATATTAAATTAAACAAATTAAAAGTTATTAAAAAATTTATGTATACGATGACACATTTCATGTTCTGATTGGAGGATTAAATTTATTAAATTAAATTTTCAATAAGACTAATTTTATAAAATATGTAAGTCTTGAAGATTAAATATGTAATTATACTAATTTATTAACTTATGCATCAATATTTTCGTTAAATATTGATATGAGATGACTAGATTGATAACATTTAAATAATTAACTGATAAAATTAATAGATCGATAATCAAAATCAAAAATACTCGAAACTTGATAATTCTTACATTATAATCGAAGCATTTTACATAATATATTATTAATTTATAATAATAATAAAAATAAACTATTTATTATAAAACAAAATACGTGTCTGCTGAGTTGGCAAAGGCGCGTCCCCGGGGACGCGCCTTTCACACGTGGCATCCAACTCAGCGAAAAAACCGGGTAAAGCGCGCCCCCGGGGACGCGCCTTTGCCAACTCAGCAGAAAGGGTGTTAGTTTTGGAAATATTGGTGGAACGGTGTTAGAAAAGTAAAAATAAAAACAAACGGTGTCAGTGGGGTAAAAAAGCCGCTGTCCGTGTACCCCGGGCAGCGCCTCCCAACGTCCCTCCCTCCTTTTTTTTTTTAATTGCCCGGGACACGTGCACCATGATCGGAAACGAGGGATCTCCAGCACAGCAAACATAGAAGGTATTTTTGGACGTGCTACGTGGCGGTTATGCGGAATGAGATTTTGAGAAATTATTTAATGTAATTTTCTCAATAAAAGCATATATTAAAAATTACAAAAATTTGCTTCCGGCGTTCTGTTGTACTGTTAAAAATTGCTTCTATTTCGTCTGCCGATGGACCCAATTACTTTTATTCACTTAAGATTTCATATTATTTCTATAATTTTATAAGAACATTTCGGTAACAAATGTGAAAAACATTTTTGAAAACAGCTTCTGGAAGCTGTCATCTGTCTGTCTCACGTCATTTCCTTTCCAACCCTTTTTCCTCCAACCCTAATCCCTCTCTAAAAAGCAACAAAATTGAAATCAGTCGAGAGAATTTACTAAGAAGTTTGTTTATAAGAACTTTTGTAAGGACAATAATTATAATTAATAATTATTAAATGAGGTACTTACTTGAGTGGAACTGAAAAGTGATTGTGATTTGAGCACTCAGTCACCCACTTGCGTCTGGACCACAACACCACTAGGCTGTTTTCTTCCCGAATAACATTGCCACTGCATTCCATCGTCAAATCAAAGGCTGTTGCCTCTGAATTACTTGTTAGCAATAACAACGTAAGATTTTATGTTTAGAAATAAATTTGAATATATACAATTTTAGGGATAAATTTAATCCTGTAAAATTTTAAGAGATCAAAATTTTTTTTAATAAAATAATTTAAAATATAAAATAATTTTAATTTTTTAGCCCCTCAATCCATTCCTGCTCGTTAGGTTCCGAGACTTCTTATTTTTGGGCTGCCTAACTATTTCAGACCTTGCTCCCTTCGAGTTTTCACGGGCCTGATTAAGGTATTGGGGTTGTTTAATACTCTCGATCGTTTGCAATGGATGTCCGATCTCTTTGTTGCAGTTATTAGTGTTTGAATACATGATCTCTAGGAACAACAACGATTCCTTAACTACTGAGGTAAGTTGGTTCGTACATGATTTATTTAGTTAATAGTGAAAAACAAAATTTATTAAATAATTCTTGTTTATTAAAAAATATAAAATTTTAATAAATTGATTATTGCCAATATACTGTATTTTATCAGTTATACAGATTAAATTTAAAATACTTGATTAAATTAATTTGAGAGTTAACTTATGAATCAATTATTTTAGCCCCGTTAATACTTTTTTAACTAATAAGCCGTTAGTTTTATTGAAAAAGAAAAACTCAAAATTACAATGATAATTTATAGGTATAAGTGTAAACTAAACATATGATTAGGACATTTCCTATAAAGATTAACACGAAGCTAGCCACTTAATATAATATAGTGATCATACAAGAAAAATGTTAAAAATCCATAAACTCAAACCACAACATGGGATAAAACAATTGAAAGATCACAGAAGGAGATTAACTAACTGAAAGATCATCGAAAATCACGAATCAGAGTCAAACACTGTGAGAAAACTATATTCGAAAACAAACTGCATATCCAAATTAATCTGAGAGTCCAAAATAGGACATATCAGTAGAGTAATAAATAAGCGACATCTTAATAAGTCGAGACGATGTCAAATCCAACCATGAAAAAATAAATAAAAAAACGACCAAACAATCTATAGAGAAAATCGAAAACTTACCAAAAGGTAAAGAAAACCGTGCCATAAAGAAAAAGAAAAATATGCCGTGACAGAGTTATAAAAAAACAAAAGAAGAATAAATA